CTACACACCTGCGTGCAGATGTGTGTCAACACACAGGGGCCCTCCCTACTGAGCTCCTCCTAAACAGGACTGTGCACTTGCCAAGCACCTGCTGCATTTACACTTTGCTCTCACACTGCACACGTGCACCCACACATGTGGACACATGTACACACCTGCTCACCCCACCCCCCAGCACAGCACCCCCACCCAACAAAGCATAGCAAGCCCTAAGCTCCCCTTCCTCTCCTCTCCAGGGGAAGGGAGTATGGCTTAGGGGCAGTTGGAGGGGGAAAGGGGGGAGTGCTGGGAGCCCAGATGTCTGGGTTCTCTTACTTTGTTCTGCCCTGTTTGCTGGTTGGGATTTGCCTCTTCCTTATGCCCCCAGGACTCGTGCCATGGCTCCATATTCATTTTACGCAGTTCCTACTAGGGATATTTCTCTCCTAGTCCTGCCTGCCTCTGTGCCCCTGGCCTGGCAGGCCTTCCTGAGCACCCTTTCTCTGACTGACCATCATCTCCTCATGGGTCTGGACACGCTTTCAGATCCTGCTGCCAGCAGCTTTGTTTGGCAGTAGCAAGTGGCCTCAAGCTGGCTTGGGGCCTGTGCTGTACCGAGCAGGAGTGGACACCAGCAGTTCTTGGGGCTACAGTGGTGCAGCCTTGAGGAGGATCCCTGCCCTGGACTGGGGTGTGATCATGGGAACTGAACTAGCAGTGTGCTGGGAGGAGCGGGGAGAGGCAGTTCCTAGCTCAGCCCAGCCCCAACCTGCACTCCACCCATCTTAGGCTGGGATCAAGGGGCACAGGGGGCTGTCTAGACCCCCCAGGTCAGAATTGGAGGGGGGGACGATGACTTGTTGCTGTCCAGAACCCCCCTCAGGCCAGGATTTGGGACATCAGGTGTGCACAACCGCCTGCCCCCAGACTGAGAGCAGGGGGTACCAATTGCTGTCCAGACCTCCCCAGGTAGGTGTTGCCTTCTAGTGGGCACTGGGGACAGGGGTGAGGCTTGCCTGGATCCATTTGTCCTTGCACCCCAGGTCTGTCTGTCTCCATCCATCGATTCCCCACTTCCCCTTTGTCTCTATCCATCGAAACCATCCATCCATCTATCCATCCATTCTCTATCCCTGCCTCTGTCTACCTACCTATTTATTCTCTCCTCAATCTAATCTAATTTAAATCTGTTCTCGATCTATTCCCACCTCTACTTGTCTGTCTACCTGTTCCCCACTCTGTCTGTCACCTAATCTTTCCTACCTACTCATTTAATTATCATGTCTACCAGACTAATGAAACACCTGCTTTTAACTTCTTTTCAGCCCAGCTCCTTGTCTTTTTTTAACATTGATTTACAATCCAGCTAACTTGATGCCTTCTGATGATGTTTTATGGGTCCTGGCCTAGCTCTGAACTTGACCTGTCCCACCCAAGGCCCCTTGTGTATTACTGCAGCTTCTCAATTCTCTTTCACTGGAGAACAAGGCACAGCCTCTGCACCCCCTTTTCATAAGGCTAGATCCCTCCACAGGACCAGACTCCCTCCCCCTCCTGGTATGGGGGGAGAAGAAAGACATCTGGCCTCATGACCCCCCACAACTGCAAGCCAAGAGATCCAATTCCTTTTCCAGGGTGGGGGGAAAAACAAGGAGCTGGGCTCCTCTGCCAGATTCCACCCATGGTGTGCATTTGGGGGAGAACCCAGGCATCCCAGCTCCAGGGAGGCAGGGGATGTGGGGCTAAGGCAACCCTTCCCCTGTTTCTGCCTGTATGCTGACACCCTTGAAGCCTGAATTTCAGCCCCCCCCCGTCCCACCTGCCCACCACAGCCTGGCATGACAGTTGCCTGTGGGGCACCACTGTGGTTGGGCCTGGCAGTACTGAGGGTGGTGGTGGAAGGGGAAGTGGGATCCTTCCTCCAATGGCTGCTGGATGCCTGTAAGTGCCCACCTTGTGGGGAAGGGAGGCTGTTTGGAAAGGCTGGGAGATGCTGGGGTGGGAGGGTGCAGGGATGGGGGTGTGTTCAGGGGGCTATGGACTGGGGCCCTGGAGGTGGCTGGGGCAGGGGGAGGGGGGGCTGTCAGGAGGTGTGGGGCCTGGACTGGGAAGGGCACTGGGCTGGTGCTGTGTGGGGAGTGCTCAGGCAAGGCTGGATTTGGTTGTGGGGGGGCTGCCCAGGCTGTGGGAGTCCAGAGGTAGTGGTAGGGGGGGTGGGACTGGGGGCTGCTTAGGGGGGCATAGGCAGGATGTGGGGAGGGAAGTTGGGCTGTAGAGCCAGAGAGGGGTATTTGATTTTGGAGGTGGGGGGTGGTGGTGCGCTGGAGTGGGGCTGATGGGGAGCTGGCAAGGGATTTGAAGGGGAGGGAGCATTTGGAGCAGGAGGGGTGCTCCAAATGCATTTGGAGCAGGGGGGCAAGGGATTTGAAGGGGAGGGAGCATTTGGAGCAGGGGGGCCAGGTGCTGGGTCCTGGCCCTGCCCACAGCAGCTCCCCACTCCAGGGCACCCTCAGCCCCATTCCAGCTCCACACAGGCCCCCAGTCCTGCAGCTCCCTCATTTTTGGGGGAGTCCCCTAGGTCCCTGCTGCCCCTCAACATGAGCCATCACCAAATGGTGTGTCCAGTAGTCATTTTATTGGCAGTTGCAGAGGGCCAATGAGAGCAGGGCTCCCCTGCTCCCATGTCCCCTAGGCCTCAAACAGTTTCTTGAGCTGGGCTACTCGGGGAGGGGCGGGGCTCTCGGGCAGGGGGCGGGGTTCTGCCAGAAGGCAGGGCTCTGTCCTGTTAGGGGTGGGGCTAGCTGCCAGGGGGTGGGGCTTGGCCTCCTGTGGGTGGAGTTCTGCCTGATTAGGGATGGGGCTAACAGTCAGGAGGCAGGGCTCTACTCTATGAGAGGCAGGACATTCTGTTGGGGGGCAGGGCTCTGCCTCAGGGGCGGGGCTAATTGTTGGGGGGTGGGGCTGTGCTCCCCCTGGGGCAGGACTTGCTGTGAGAAGGCAGGGCTGTGCTTCTTCCTGGGCAGGGTTAGCTGTGACGGGGGCCTCAGGGGTGGGGCTAGCATCGAGGGGGCGGGGCTCAGCCTCCTCAGGGGCGGGGCTCCATGCTGAGGCCTGTTGCTCCCCACTTCCTGGGGGCTGCGGCTGCTGGGGGGAGACAGGTGCCTTCCAGCAGAGGGAGGGCGCACCTCTCAGGCTCTCCCACATCTCAGGTGCCTTATCCTGGACACTGGGGTTCCATGAGCTACCCTCATCTTCCTCATCATCCTCCTCCTCAGGCAGCGCCCACCAGTCCCGGCTTGGCCCATCTAGGCTAAGGTTCAGGCTCTCTTGGCTTGGCCCCAGCTGTACAAAGAGGGGAGGAGTTAGGGGAGTGGGTGTCGCTAGTGAACGGGGTGGGGAAGGGCCAGGAGTGGTGTGGCCAGTGTCAGTGGGGAGGAGTTAGGGGGCGTGGCTAGGTAATGAGAGGCAGAATCAATAGGAGCAGTTAGGGATAGGACCAGGTGGAGGGGGCGCAGCTAGGGAAGAGGGTGGAACTGGAGTGGGAGGGGCATGGCCATGATGGGGGAGAGCAAAGTAGGGGGCATGGCCACTCCCCAAAGGGATGGAGGTGTGGCCAGCCCCAAGGGATGAGGTTAGGGGCTGGACTAGGGTCAGGAGGTGTGGCCTGTACCAGAGTAGTGGGGTTAGCAGAAGGGGTGTGGCCAGCTAAGGGGCGAGGTTAAGGGCTGAGATGACTGGAGGAAGTGAATGGGAGAGAGGAGTTAGACAAAGAGGGCGTGGCCGGGGCACAGGAGCAGCTGGGAATGGGTAGGAGCTCACAGAAGGAGATCAGGAGGGGCAGGGCCTCACCTGGGTGAGGTCGAGGCTGCGGGTGCCATAGAGGGCCCCGCCTTCACCAGGTGCCACCAGGCTCAGCGCCTCAAAAATCTCGCCCAGCAGGTCCAGGTCCTCGGGCTCCGGGAAGCTGGTGTCCAGCTCCACCTGGTCTGCAGGCTTCTCCCTGTCCTGCCCCTGGACTTCGCTGCGGAGAACACACCTGACATAAGGGCGCAGGCGCCAGGGTCATGGGTTCTGCCCCAGAACCAGCCACACTCCCCTCAGGGAAACCTCCCCATCATGCCCCTTCCCCCTCCACACACACTGGTACTTTTACACGCATGTGCACATGAGACTGCTCACACATGGGACAGAGGACTTGCACAACCAGGCCACATCCCACCCCCTGTCAAAAGCCCCCTCCTCCTTATCAACCACCCCATTGTGGATCATCCTCCTTTCCCACCACACATAAACACACCCCTCTGGTGCCTTTGCATGGTGCCCCGGTGCATACAGGCATGACAAACGATATGCAGAGCCAGGCTCTGCCTGTCCCCAAACAACCCCCCCCTTGGCCCCTCTCATAAAACCACTCCATCATGGAATACTCCCCGCACATACATGCACAGCCCTCTGGTGCCCTCACATACATGCAAGTACCTGCTCAAGTGGGTGTAACAGAGGACATACAGAGCCAGGCTCCCAGGCCCCCTACCCCACCCCCATGAAACCACCCCATCCTGGAACAGTCTCCCCAACACACACACACACACACACACACACACACACACACACACACACACACACACACACACACACTCTACTGCCCTTACACACTTGTGCCCACATGTCTCTACTCACACAGAGGACATGCAGAGCTGTCCCCCCTGCCCACTTCTGCTATTACCTCTGGGTCTGTGGCTCCATCTCCCCAGGCCTGGGCTGGGGTCTCCGGGGCCGTGACTGCAGGAGGAGAAAGGGGCTGAAGTGCTCATCCCCACCAGCCCC